ATATATATATATATATATATATATATATATATATATGAATATATATATGTGAATATATATATATATATTCATAGCTATACACACACATTTGGAACTACTTCATTTTTGTTTTTTCATGATAGGGTCTCACTGTGTGGCTCTGGCTGTTCTGGAACTCATTATATAGACCAGGCTGGCCTAGAACTCACAGAGATCTTCCTGACTTTACCTCTCAAGTACTGGGATTAAAGATGTGTGAAATATGTGTGCCGCCATGCCACATAAGGAACTCTGGAACTCTTGAAGATGTATTAAGTCTTAATACCTTCCCCCTTTTGTTTTCTTCCTTCCATTTTTCTTTTTCTTTTTTTTTTTTTTGTGTTGTTGTATTAGTTTTTTTGAGACAAGGTTTCATGAAGCATTTGTATTGTGTAGCTAAGGATCCTGGTCCATTCTGACTCTACCTCCCAAATGCTGGAATTATAGGCATGCATCACCATACCCAGCTTATTACTCTTTTTGTTACTAAAACTGTTAATTGACAAAACACTTCATGTTAAAATAATTTGGCCATAATTTGAAAGACTAAATACTAGAGGAAACAATTATTTAATGTAGGAAACACTGAACTAGAGAACTGTAATGAACAGGAAATTGCTGCTCTCCTGGTATCTGTGGTCCAAGTCTAAATTCTTGTCATTGGGACTGAATCCAAATCTGTGCTTCTTTTTATATGCACAGCAGAGAGCTGATTCACATAGGACCCTGAAATTAGAGTAATTACAGTCTTCAGTGGTGACAGCTAACTCTATTTTGATTTCTGTTATAGCATCGCATGCAGAGCTGGTGGGATACACAAAAGGACATTGGCAGAATTATAGTGAGGATTTCTTCAAAAATCTGGAATGATGAGAAAATAAGAGAAAGCGATGAGAAAAAGCGAGTGAGCACTATAGAACACAAGCGATTTTAGGCAGCATTGTGAAAGGAACCATAGTGTATCAGAGTGATTCTCCATCACTATGCAATCTCACAAAAAACAATGGAAATACGCAAGATGAGAGTAATTCCAGTAAATTAGAAAGTATTACAATTACAAATTGGTATTGATAATCTTTTGTTTTGTTAAATATAAAAGACTTCTCAGGACTCAAGAGTTGGTGGTGTCTCATAAGATAAATTGTGTTCTCTTGTTACTGGAGGCTTGTAATCTAACGATTTCTTTTAAGCAATGTTAGATGTAAAAGATGATTATAATATGTATGCTTTGAAGATAAGGTCTGACTGTGATTTGTAGCTGAAAACCTAATAGTTTTTATTTATATAATTGTCATTAATACAGAAAATACTGATTTTTTTTCACTTGCTTTTGTATGTTTAAAATTAAGTGGTGCTGATGTGGAGCCGTATTTTAATTTTACTTCAGTCATCATAGATGCTGATAACTATTGAGTCAGTGGGTACAATTTACCTGTACTTGTTACCAACACAAGGCATATTCAACTTAGGTTATTTTCACCCAGCTTAGGTCATTTTCTTCATCCAGACCCTTATGAAAAGAATAGTAATTATATTAACATTACTGTATGAAAAAAAAAAAAAAAACCAGCAAGCTGAACCCTAAGGGCCTATTATCAGTCCACAGTCTGTTTTCCCTTAGGAAAACAGTTTATCTTAGGCACAATTCTTGGAGCTGTGCCAGGCAGGTGGATGGTGTTGTGCACAACACAGCTGAGATACACAACACAGCTGAGGTTCAGCACTGTCTCCCCGGGCAAGCTTCATAGCATAGAGCCATTGTTCACATCTGCCTCTCAGGGCCCCTGTGGTTTGGTCTCACAGTCTGATTCCGTAAACTGAGCTCTCCAGCTCTGCCCATCTCCACATCTAGATATAGATAGAAACCATCCCTTTCTTTTTAACTGAGTTGTTAGAGAAATGTGGAAAGCTGATGAGAAGTATCTTCTTGAGTTTTCAAAGTCTGCTGGATTAGACTTTCTTCTGTGTGACAGCCACACTTCCCTGCACACTGCCCTTCTTCACTGCTGGTGACTTGGCAGTTTTGCTTGTTAAAAAATAGTAGCTTGTGTAATTTTGATGGGTTTCTTTATATGTTCTCCTGCCTATAAAGTGTGACTTAGTGTTTTTATGGCATTTTGGTAAACTAAAGATAAAAATACTTTGATTGTAAACTTCTAAAATTTTGAATTTTAGCTGAATGCAATGGCTAACAGAGCAGCCGGAAAAGGTTATGAAAATGAAGACAACTATTCTAATATTAGATTTCAGTTTGTTGGAATAGAAAATATTCATGTCATGAGATCCAGCCTTCAGAAATTACTGGAAGGTATGATTATTGCACACCTTTTAGAAAACTCTGTGAGATAGAGATGTAGTGATAGTTACATAGGGCTGTGAATTTTCTGTCTATTACACTCAAAAAGGAAAGATAACATGGGCTTGGTATTGGTGATATACCTAATATAGTAAAAGAATTATGTTTAGCATGTAGTCAGTATAAAAACTCATGGATGGACTAGCCTCTCTAGCCATCCTCCTCTCTTTTCTCCTTTCTTCTCCCCATTCTCCATCTCGTTCCTTCTCCCTGCCCCCACTTCTCTCTCTCACTCAGTTGCTTGCTCATAGCTTTTTGAGAAGGGTTTTATTTAATGCAAGGTATCCTTGAATGAACTCTGTAGCCAAGACTTGCCTTGAAATGTTGACCCTCTTGCTTCAGTGTCTCAGGTGCTGGAATTACAGGTATGTGCAACCACAACCAACTGGATCTTGTATTGTCATCAAGTCTTAGAAATCAGTGACGTTTGTAAACTTATATCTCACTTCAGTTTAGCCACATTTCAGGTGCTCAGTCATCCCGTTTTGTGTGGTGGCTTCTCTATCTGTGCGGCTCTAATGGTTTTATAGATCACTATTTTTAGAGATCACTGAATAGTCAGTACATCCTAGTTATGATGTAATTCAAAAAAATTAAAATATAAACTATTTCAACATTTGCATTACCTGTTTAAAAGGTAATTGAACATTTCTTTTAAGCCTAAATAAGGAAAGACAGAAAAATGTCCTCCAAAGCGTTATTTAGCCTCTAATACCATGATTTATCTACATGTAATTTCTGCAACTCACTTCCCTTTGGTATCCTGAAAGGGTGAGTGGGAACTCTAGCCCCATTCCAATCAAAGAAACCTTCCTCCCTGTTTCATAGTGAATGGCAGCAAGGGGCTTTCCGTCAATGATTTCTACTCTGGTTTGGAGAGCTCAGGATGGCTTCGCCATATAAAGGCTGTTTTGGATGCTGCAATCTTCTTAGCCAAGGTAACTGTCTCTCATTGGTTTGGGGTTGGTTATGTTTGGGAAGGAATGGACTTAGCCTTGGTACAGAGGTCTCTTCTGCTCAAACAACCTTTGCTCTTCTTTGCTGCTTTAATGCAGTCCACTTCAGTTTGAAGTGGTACCTCACATACAGTCCCCATGTACTGAGAAGCAACATTTTTTGTTTGTTTGTTTGCTTCGTTTTTGTGGTTTTAATTACTGTGGCAATGGTGTCATTGCAGGACCAGCTCTCCTTTATAATGTATATCTTCTGGTGTGGGTTTTAGTATGCAACCTTGCTGATTTATGTAAAGGGTATTCTACAGGAATCTGAGTGTGCCATTTTTCTCCCCAGGCAATAGTGGTTGAAAATGCAAGTGTACTGGTCCACTGTTCGGATGGGTGGGATAGGACTTCCCAGGTTTGTTCCCTCGGCTCGCTCTTGTTGGATTCCTACTACAGGACAATGAAAGGATTTATGGTAAGGATTGATTCCATTGGACCCAATAATTTAGCCAAAGACAGCTTTATACTAAGGTCATGCAGCTGGGAGAGTCTGCTAAGCAGTTGACCCTGCAAAGGACAGCTCTGGTTCAAGATCCTTGGGCCCTTGATGTCAGTGCTTCTGCAGCGGAGGGCCTGCAGTTAGACTGATCTCAGTTGAGCCACATTTCTTGGCAAAATACTTCAGGTCTAGAGGTTCACACGCTCTTGTGCACACATGCACATACCCCACTGCCCTAAAGTGTTAATAACAGAATTGTTGATGTTTTCTTCCACATCTTTATCCAACAAAATTAATGTGTAAGCTACAGTAGTGAACTTTAAATCTTGTTGAGGGAATGTTCATTTATAGCACCCTGATGTTAAGTGAAGCACCCTGGTGTCATTTCTGTCTATGGAACCAAATTTCTAGTTGAACAGTTTTCTTCTGGGCAGGATTTCATCTTCTGTTTATTTTCTATTTTGTATTTGATTAGATTATCTTTCAAATTTTACTTGTTAAGCCAGGCATATTGAGCTGAGCCTTCAAGCATAGCATTTGGGACATGAAGACAGGAGAGTCAGGAGTTCAAGGTCATCCTTTACTATGTTATCAGTTTGAGATCAGTCTGAGCTACATGAACCCTGTCTAAAAACAAAACAAAACTTCACATAGAAATACACAGTGAGTACATGACCAGATATTAGAGAGCTGTTAAAGCTTATAATTATTAAACAGTGTCCTGTGACAAGCAAGGGTCAGCAGTGTTCTTTGGCTCCATTATCATATCAAATCAAATGGAAATAACAACAAACCAAATGGAAATAAGAAAACTACATGAAAATAGTGCTAATAAAAAATAACCTCAAGCTTTCTTTTTGAATATAAGTGAGGAATGTTATTTTTAGCTCATTTGCCAGGCATTTGGATGAGCCATATAAGAAATGACCAGGAGCACAGCAGAGCACTTTTAGGAGATATAGGTGATGCGTGAGAGAGTGTGAGAGTAAGCCTCCTGCATAGGAATTTTAGGGTAAGAACCTGAGGAAGATGATGCTGGGACGTGTACTTCCCCTTCTGGGCAATGAGAGCCATTATATAATACAAAAAGAGCAAGTGGTAGCTTGATGAGAGATGTTTCAGTAAAAAGTTATCTTGACATCTTGAAGTCAGAATGGAGTGGGGTGGAGGCTGAGGGTCCAGTATAGAAACTATTAGGTCAATGAAAGAGGGTGGAGTAGAAGGAAGGCAGCAGAGCCTGCACCAGTAGACAAAGGTGATAGGTTCAGGGGACAATGGCAAAGGAGGACCAGTGCAAACTAGTCATGGACTGAATGGGAGTGGAAGATAGGAGCCCTGCCCAAGTTTCCAGGCTGCTGAGTCAGCATCTGGTGGTACCTGCTCTTGTCTGAGCTAAGTAGAGGAGCAGGCTCGAGAGGATACTAAGTTAGGATGGATAGAATGGTAGAGAGCCCAGGATGAAATCCATATTCCCACCCACGGTCCCAGTGTAGAGGTGACAAAGTCATCCATGGTAGAGCTGTAAATGTACAGAAACTTCGTCCTTGAGCAGTTTGCTATGTTAAATGGATTTAAGACAACATTGGAGATGCCAAAAAACATGACCCTCTTGACAAAGAACATGCTTGGTGACCGTGTGATGAGATTATAAGGTGTGTCAGGCACTAAGAAGTTACCTCAGATCTGCCTGGAAACATTAGGGATCTGTTCTCTCACTGGCTGTGGTGGTGCATGTCTTTAGTTCCTGGTCTTTGGAAGCTCAGACAGGAGGATGGAGCATTCAGGCAAACCTGGACTTCATAGTGAGAAGTTGGTTCAAAAAAAGAAAAATCTCTTATTTTGGTGGAGTTAGTAGAGAATCCATGACATGAAGACTCAGCTGTGTAATTCAGTCTGAGTCATGCACGGCAGCATTGGAATTTGAATAAAAGCTGGCACTTTCATTGACTTTGTTTTATTTCCCAGGAGACAGGGTCTTACCATTTTTCTTATGTTTCTGTAAACAAATGTACAAATAAGTCAAATGGTTTAACCCCTCGTCTAAACTCCATTTCAGGACAGGGTTTCCCTGTGAAGCCTGACAGGTCTTGAATTTTCTGTTCTCTTTCCTGAGTCTCTGAGTGCTGGGTTATAGCTGGCTTTTCCTAGCCTTTTTGATGTCATTTTTATATGTATAAAAAATGTAATTCTGCCTTACCAGGTGGGCTCTTAATAAGTACAACAGGAAGAGTTTGACGAAAGGCCACTTTGTATGAATTTTCACTCTTCTGACCCCTCACTCTAGTCTAGGTTCTGGTCAGTTTTTACCTGTAGTGTTTTTGTTTTGTTTTGTTTTGTTTTGTTTTTAATTTCTGTTCTTAGCAGAATTGTCGTGACTTTTTTTTTTTTAAGTTGAAAATAGTTATATAGTTGGTTTTGCCTTTTTTCTCACCAGGTTTTAATAGAAAAAGATTGGATATCATTTGGGCATAAATTTTCAGAGAGGTGAGTGGCAATTATATCTTTGCAAAATTGTATCACTGTGTTCCTCTTTTGGAACTTGCACAACTCTTTGATGTGAGAACTGGACCTGTGAATTGTATGAAGCTGGACCTAATATCTCTGTTAGTTCTTTCTTTTAGTGCCTGTTAGTTCTCATGGCCATTGAGGTTTTTCTGAGACAGAGACAGCCTTGTAGCAAGGCTGGCTTTGCATTTCTGGTCCTCCTGCAGGGGTTACGGATGTGCACTAAAATGATGGTTACAAATGGGGATGCCTGCATTACATATGTGATGCATGTATGTATTAGTTTTGTGTGTTTAAGTTTACAGTACCTAAGCAGTGAACTTCTTTTGGAGGCATTTTTAAAAGCGTGTGCTTTCTGGGGGGGCTAGGTGTGGCCATTTGGACGGTGACCCAAAGGAAGTCTCACCAGTGTTTACTCAGTTCTTGGAGTGTGTGTGGCATCTGACTGAGCAGTTCCCACAAGCCTTTGAGTTCAACGAAGCGTTTCTTCTTCAGATCCACGAGCATGTTCATTCATGCCAGTTCGGGAACTTCCTTGGGAACTGTCAGAAGGAAAGAGAGGAACTCAAGTAAGTGGATGATGAAAATGGGCCTTTTCCTCCTACACCACCCAGGTCATCCCACCATAAATCATGGCTGCGATATAATCAAATTTTACTTCAGAGTTTATTGTCTATATTTTTGAAGCTAAAGTACCCTACTAATATCTGCTGCCCTCCCAGGTAATTGTAAAAATACATTTTGAGGTATAATAGTATCCAGAAAAGTACTGTAGGATATGTAGCCAGCCCAGTAACTCTTACCACCTACACACACACACACACACACACACACACACACACACA